AAAAATTAGCTGGGTGTGGTGGTGTGTGCCTGTAGTCCCAGCTACTCGGGAGGCTGAGGCAGGAGAATTGCTTGAACCTGGGAGGCGGAGGTTGTGGTGAGCTGAGATTGCACCACTACACTCCAGCCTGGGTAATACAGTGAGATTGTGTCTCAAAAACAAAACAAAACAAAACAAAAACCACGCAAAAACAAACAAAACAAAACAAAACATAACAAAACACTGGGATGGTCCATGAGAAAGGGACAGGTATAGGGCTGTGGAAACACAGAGCAAGGAGAGTGTTCTCCCAGGTAGAGGGCTTGGGAAAGGGACATGGGGGAACAGATAGTCCATTCCAGAACAGGAAGTAGGAGAGGGACTGGTGGAGACAGTGAGCAGGACATGCCAGGAGCAGCAGAAGGGTGGGCAGAGGCATAGCAAAGAGCCAGGCACATTTGAAGGTGGTTGTAGAGTTCAATCTGCAGCCATGGGAGCGGCCCCCAGTCCTCTGAACAGTGCGACCCTGCCATCCAGTGTTGTGGACTCTACGTGCTGCTACTTGGACTTTTTAAATTACTCTGGATTCAGAGAGCACAGCCACCCAGTTTCATTACTTACTGGCTGTGTTACCCTGGGCAAGTCACTTCACCTCTCTGAGCTGAAGATTTCATCATTGAAAATCGGGGGTAATGATAACATCTCATAGGATTGCTGTGAGGATTCAATGAGATAAACCTCAAATTAGCACATGCCTGGCACCTACCGAGGGCTCCATAGAAAGGTGGGGTATTACTGTCTTACTGTGTAATTGAATGGTGGCATTATAGCGCTATTTTTCAGGAGGCTTGGAAAAAATTAACTTCTCATTAAAAAAATAAATTTAGACTTTAGAAAAGTTGCAAAAGTAGCACGAAGAATTCCTGAATACCTTTCACCAAGATTACAAATATACACATAAAGACATAAAGAAAAAAACAGGACCGGGCACAGTGGCTCATGCCTGTAATTCCAGCACTTTGGGAGGCCAAGGCGCGTGGATCACGAGGTCAGGAGATCGAGACCATCCTGGCTAACACGGTGAAACCCCGCCTCTACTAAAAATACAAAAATAAAATAAAATAAAATAAAATAAAATAAGCCAGGCATGGTGGCAGGCGCCTGTAGTCGCAGCTACTCAGGAGGCTGAGGCAGGAGAACTGCCTGAACCTGGGAGGCAGAGGTTGCAGTGAACCGAGATTGTGCCACTGCACTCCAGCCTGGGTGACAGAGTGAGACTCTGTCTCAAAAACAAACAAACAAAAAAACCCAAAAAAACAAAAAACAGAAAAAAAACACAAATATATACATTGACATATATGTACACACATAGAAACATATAAACATGTATATACATATTTCCCCCTGAACTGTTTGAGTCAAATGCAGACTTGTTGGCCCTTTACCCCTTAATACTTCAGTGTGCATTTTTTAAAAGCAAGGACATTCTCCTATATACAATTATACTATAATTATACAAATATAGTACAATTGGTACAAATTAGTACAAATATACAAATATAGTAAAATTATCAAAATCATGAAATTAACATTGGTACAGTACTATTATCTAATGATCAGACCGTATTCAGATTTTGTCAATTTTCCTACAATGTCCTATATGACAAAACAAAATCTCTGATCATCTCTTGCATTCATTTGCCCCGTCTCAGAGTCTCCTTGAGTCGGTAATATTTCCCCAGCCTTTCTTTGTGTCTCATGACCTCGACGTTTTTTAAAAGTGAAGACTAGTCACATCGTAGAAAGTTCCTTTTTGGGTTTGACTCATGTTTCCTCATGGTTAGATTTGGGTTAGGTGTTTTGGGGCACCACAGTGACCTATTCAGTGCATCACAGCCTTGTGCACATTTTTGTTGACAACTGTATTTATTTATTTATTTATTTATGTATTTATTTATGTTTTTTTGAGATGGAGTATCACTCAGTCGCCCAGGCTGCAGTGCAGTGGCACGATCTCAGCTCACTGCAACCTCTGCCTCCTGGGTTCAAGCGATTGTCCTGCCACAGCCTCCCGAGTAGTTGAGATTACAGGCATGTGCCACCACACCCAGCGAATTTTTGTGTTTTCAGTAGAGACGGGGTTTCACCATGTTGGCCAGGCTGATCTTGAACTCCTGACCACCCTGGCCTCCCAAATGCTAGGATTACAGGCGTGAGCCACTGTGCCTGGCCTGTTGACAACTTTAAAATAGGGCTTCCAGATGCGGGGAGCTAAGGGATTACTGAACGACGTACACGTGAATACCCGGAGGGATATGACAAACGTGAATCCTCCAAACCTGCTGAGTCGGTACCTCTGAGAGTATGCCTAAGAACTTGCAGGGTTCGCCAGCATCCTAGGTGACCAACTGCCTACAGTGTTCCTTCCAGTTGTGACATTCCCAGGCATGGCCAAAAGATGGCGCTGCAGGCTGCACTTTCAACGGAGTTTCCTTTCTGGAGAAGCTCACAGCTGGGCTTTGGTGAATTCAAGCTCACATCTACCAGGAGTACTTGGTACCTCCTCTTTCCTCCTTGGAATTGGGCCTTTCACCACCGCTATCCTCCTACCACTTCATAGTGACTTTTCTGGATGCCCCAAGACCTCACAGGAGTTAGAATTCACTTTGGGGTTCCTAAACCAGAGATGGTTTACTCTTCAAGGTGAAGAGAAAACCCCGCCCCAGTTTTCTGAAGAGCAAACCAAGAACTATTAAAATAGTAATAGGCCAGGCACAGTGGCTCATGCCTGTAATCCCTGCACTTTAGGAGCTGAAGCCGGAGGATCACTTGAGCCCAGGAGTTCCAGACCAGCGTGGGCAACATAGCAAGACCCCATTTCTACAAAAAATAAAATTAGCTGCACATGGTGTGTGTCTGTAGTGCCAGCCAGGTGGGAGACTGAGGTGGGAGGATCGCTTGAGCCCAGCAGGCAGAGGTTGCAGTGACTGCAGCCAAGACTGTGCCACTGCATTCCAGCCTGGGTGACAAGAGAGAGCCCCTGTCTGAAAAACAAAATAAAAAAATAAAGAGCAGTCACCATTCTTAGGACTAAGAAAAAGTTCCCCCCAACTCTCTACCCCCATTCTCGCAAGGCTGAGATCCAGACTTCGTTGCAGAGGGCACAGCTGTGGTTCCCGGGATGGCAGAGAAGCCACTGTGGTGTTTGCTGGTAGAATCTGCTAGAAATCTGTCCTCTGGAACTTTTCAGGAAACTGTCTCCTATGGAGTGAGAGAAAGCCATTCACAGAACAGTGCCTCACTAGAGGCACTCTGCTACAAAATCACCAAAAAAAAAAAAAAAAAAAAAAAAGACACTGCAGGAAGCTGCTGGCCTTGTAGTGCTGCTGGCTGCCAAGCACTGCAGGAACTGGGTCCTGGAGTAGCTGCCTGCATGGTAGGAGGTTGCTGAGCGACCACGCCTGAATCAGGAAGAGGTGGGCTCCTGGAAAAACGCTTTAAAAGGGATTAGACTTGTCTAACTTGTCCATTTTGCTCTTAGATCTTCTCTTTCCTTCCTTCTGGAATGTGCATGATGACTGGAGCACAGCATCCCCCTTGTGAGCATGAGGAAGAAAGTCACATTCTCAGGATGGCAGAGAGAAAAGCCAGAAGGGACTGGGTACCTGATGTCCCACTGGTGCTGCCCTGTTAGCTCTGGACTGCCTTTCTTCATATTCCTCATTAAGAAAAACAATCTCTGTCTTGACTGAGACACTTTTATTTGTTTGTTTGTTTGTTTGTTTTTGGTTCCCTGCAGTTGAATTTAATTCCCAACTGATATAACTATTTAGTGGAAAGGCTCGGCTGGATATGACTGTCATAAGATCACTTCAGCCAATAAACAGAAATTGTTGTATGTATATATAGCGATGGTCTCACTGCATTTGCCTAGGCTGGAGTGCAGTGGCGCAATCATAGCTCACTGCAGCCTCAATCTCCTGGGCTCAAACCATCCTCCCACCTCACCACAAAGCACTGGGATTACAGATGTGAGCCACCACGCCCAGCCAGAAATCACTTTTCATAATTTACACACATTGACTTTCTTAGATGACAGGTAAGTAATGATTATAAAAACAGCATTTCTGAGCACTTTTTACCCAATATATTTTTTAATAGTTTGATATCTAACACATATACAAAAATGCACAAATCATATGTTGTACAGCTCAAAGAATTTTCACAAGATGGACACAAACATGTAACCACCCAGATCAAGAAATAACATTACTTGCACCCTGGAAGCACCCCTTCAATCTCTCATTCAGTCAGCACTCCTACAAAGGAAACTGCTAACTGACTTTTAATGATCTAGATTAGTTTTGCCTATTTTTGAATGTTACATAAATGGCATCATATAGCATGTGGTTTTTTGTGTCTGGCCTCTTGTCAACATTATGTTTGTGAATTCCTTTATGTCATTGCCCTGGGAAGACACAGGCCAAGCTCAAATCCAGAGAAGCAGCTGGAGGGAAACGGTGCATGTGAGATGAACAGGCATTGCTTTTCACTGGTGCATGCTGGGAGGAAGTGATCCATGGCCAGGTTGAGTAGCTGCTAGCCCATCTCATTCCTCAGGAAGCTCATCTGCAACTCCGATACACAGAGCCAATGCCCTGGGGTCAGAAGGACAGCTGAGATTCTCTAGACAATAACTATCATTTGGACTCACAAACCTCTTGAATCATTGTAATGATCCTCTGGCACTTTGCAGAAAATAAGATCTACCCTCTGTACATAAAAAGATATGTTCGATCAGGCACGGTGGCTCATGCTGGTAATCCCAGCACTTTGGGAGGCCATGGCGGGCACATCACTTGAGGTCAAGAGTTCGAGACAAGCCAGGCCAACATGGCAAAACCCCTTCTTTACTAAAAATATGAAAATTAACTGGGTGTGGTGGCGTGTGCCTGTAATCCCAGCTACTTGGGTGGCTGAGGCAGGAGAATCGCCTGAACCCGGGAGGCAGAGGTTGCAGTGAGCCGAGATCGTACCACTGCACTCCAGCCTGGGTGACAGAGTGAGACTCCATCTCAAAAAAGAAAAAGCAAAAAAGAAGAAAAAAAGATGTGTTCAACTCAATATGGACCAGCCCTTTGAGTCATATTCATTATAGTATATAGTGATGTTTTATGCACTTTTCTGTATGTCTGTAATATTTCATAATAAAAACACACATGCAAGGGACAATGAAATAAGTGCAAGGTTAATGCAGAGATAGTAGATTGCTTATTTGTTCTTCTGGTAGATTGCATTATTTGTTCAAAACCTTTGCAGCCACTCCATATCAGTCCTTCTTACTGGACTTTCACTACAAATCATCCTTGCTGGAGGATTCTATTTCCCATGACGTTGACATTTACTTTAGCCAATGAAAGATGAGTGGAAGTGGACTGGTGCTCCTGAACAGAAACTTTAAGAGCGAGAGGATGGTTCTGCCGTTTCTCTTTTCCCTCTGCCAGGATAATGTCAATGTTCCAGGTAACAGCTGTTCCTGTGTAGCTACCATCCTTCATCAGAAAACTTCAGCACAAGTGTATTACATTGTATCCCTCTCCTCAAAGTGGGGGATAAGGAAGGAGACCACTACTACTCCTGCTGCCCTCCTCCCCCCACCTTGCCTAGTTCACAAGACAGGAGGAAAGAGAGAAAGAAACAAAAGTAAGATAAACAGCCGGACAACCTTGGCACCACCACCCGGCCCTAGGAGTTAAAAAAAAGGTAATAATAATAACATCAACCCCTGACCTAAACGACTTGTGTTATCTGTAAATTCCAGACACTGTATGAAAAAAGCATTGTAAAACTTTTTGTTCTGTTAGCTGATGCATGTAGCCCCCAGTCACGTTTCCCACGCTTGCTTGATTTATCACGACCCTTTCACGTGGACCCCTTAAAGTTGTAAGCCTTTAAAAAGACCAAGTATTTCTTTTTCAGGGAGCTCGGCTCTTAAGACACGAGTCTGCCAACGCTCCTGGCTGAATTAAAAAAAACCTCTTCCTTCTTTAATCTGGTGTCTGAGGAGTTTTGTCTGTGGCTCATCCTGCTACACCTGCAGCCTGGATCCCAGAATGAAGAGGTCATGGGGCAGAGCTACAGCTGATGTATAATGTGAGTGAAAAATAGGCCATGGTGGTGGGAAGGTGCTAAGATCTTGGGACTGTTTGTCTTGCAGCATAACTGGGTGAAACCTGACTGATACACATATGGAAGGTTTTCATATCATAATTACCAGTTAAAATAGATAAGAGTCCTCTGGGCTAATACCAACTTCTATAGATAAGGAGGTGAAGGGAACAATGAACAAACACCTACCTTCAAGTTTCTCCTTTGTAAAGGGACTTCAGAATTAACTAGAAAAATTGGGGTAGGGTGCACTCTGACTTGTAGCCATATCAAAAATCAACTTGCTGCATGGTCAAGTATCAGATAAATTTAAGCCCTCTAGCCTGTTTTATAATAACACATAATTTAAAAACATAGATGTTTTTGTAAAAGACAGACTGAGGAGGAAGTAAGAATTATAATGAAAGGCTGGGCTCAGTGGCTAACACCTGTAATTCCAGCACTTTGGGAGGCTGAGGCGGGCGGATCACAAGGTCAGGAGATCGACAGCATCCTGGCTAACATGGTGAAACCCCATCTCCACTAAAAATACAAAAAATTAGCCGGGTGTGGTGGTGGGCACCTGTAGTCCCAGCTACTCTGGAGGCTGAGGCAGGAGAATGGTGCAGTGAGTTGAGATTGCGCCACTGCACTCCAGTCTGGATGACAGAGCAAGACTCCATCTCAAAAATAAATAAATAAAATAAAAGAATTATAACGAAAGAGCTAATAAGGTCTTGTTTGAGGGAAAGTGGAGTCATAAAAGCACCTCCTGGACATTAGAAGTACTGGTGCTTACAAATTTTTACAGGATCAGGAGACAGAATAAAAAGAACAAAATGGAAAGGAGAAAGTGAAACGTAAAACATTAAAGGAAAAGCAAGGACATTTTGAAAATACCATGTTTAATTTTTAACTTTTTTTAAGTTAAAAAATTTATAAATTATTTTGTAGAGATGGGGTCTCACTATGTTGCCCAGACTGTTCCTGGACTTCTGGGCTCAAGTGATCCACCACCTCAGCCTCCCAAAGTGCTGGGACGACAGGCATAAGCTGCCATACCCAGTGAGAACACTGTATTTATATACAACTCAATAAACTCCCTGATGTTGCAGAGGAAGCGAAAAGGAACATCATTAAACCGGTAAAGCCTGGCTGCTGCTCACCTGGAGGCCACGCAGAGTCGCCCGTGTGAGACACAACGGGGAGCATCTCTCTCTTCTTGTGACTTATGATGTGAAGCCACTGCGTTCTTTCTCCACCACATCTTAACACGCTTGCCTAGTGTGTCGTCACCAGCAGGCACACAGGCCTCCTGCTGAACTCCAGTTTCAGAGTGACCTTTGAGGTGTTCCAGCTATACACAGAACGAATGGCATTTATTTTGAATCAGACGATTCAACACACAGTCTCTCAATTTGGTGAGAATCCAGCTGTCAACTTTCATAGAATGTGACAACAGTCAGAAGCAATTGGCAGAGATAAATATGAGGACAAAAAGATGGCAGAGTGAGACCCCACCCCACCCTGTTTTGTTGCAAGCAGCAGCAGCAGCAGCAGCAACAACAACAACAACAAAATAGCAGAGCAAATTATGGAAGAGCATCTCATCTATAATGAATGTGGCAGATTTGTGCAAATTGGCAAGCATATCTTTGCAGACTCAGGGATATTTGCGAAAAACTTAAGGAAGATCTCAACTGCCCCTATTTACTCCCCAGATCTCAAGTGGACACAAGATCCTTAAAAGTAAGTGGCAGGGTCCTGAAGGGTCTGGCCTACATCTTTACCTGGAAATATGATAACTCAGGGCAGAGGTGGGCTTGGAGAATCAGAGAAGGTCACTCCCTGAGCCTATCTTCAAGCCCCAGCATGGCAGGAACCCGGGCTGTCAAGAGGCTCCAATGATCTTGTGCCCTTATGTTGTCTGAGCTAGGCTGCTAACCCAAACGAACAGCCTGAGGGGAAGGTAGAGAGAGGAGAGATGGGACCACACTCTGACATCACCTTTGCACAAGGCCGGCTGAACAGAGGTAAATGAACTGAACCACATTGGATAAAGGGAGGCCCAAGGTTTTAGCATAAGCCACAGGTCACACAGTAATACGGAGGATCTGAATCAAATAACTCATCAGATTGATGTAAGAGATAATATTGCATTGTGTATCCCTCAATCAGAAAATACACCTCTGGGTTGGGTGTAGTGGCTCATGTCTGTAATCCCAGCACTTTGGGAGGCCTAGGTGGGTGGATCACTTGAGGTCAGGAGTTTGAGACCAGCTTGGCCAACATGGTGAAACTTCATCTCTACTAAAAATACAAAAATTAACTGGATGTGGTGGCACACGCCTGTAATCCCAGCTACTTGGGAGACTGAGGCAGGAGAATTGCTTGAACCCAGGAGGTGGAGATTGCAGTGAGCCAAGATCACACCACTGCACTTCAACCTGGGTAACAGTGAGACTCCATCTCCAAAAAAAAAAGAAGAGAAAATATACCTCCTATTGAAACACCCATGAAAGCATTGATAAAAGTTGACTGCGAAACTGTGGTTAGGTTTTGTGTTCCCACCCAAATCTCGTCTTGAATTGTAATCCCCATAATCCCCACCTGTCTAGGGAGAGAGCTGGTGGGAGGTGATTGGATCATGGGGGCGGTTTTCCCCATGCTGTTCTTATGATAGTGAGTTCTCACAAGATCTGATGGTTTTATAAGGAGTTCTTCCCCCTTCACTCCTCACTCTTCTCTCTCCTGCCACCATGTGAGAAGGTCCAAGCTTGCTTCCCCTTCGCCTTCTGCCATGATTGTAAGTTTCCTAAGGCCTCCCCAGCCTTGTAGAACTGTGAGTCAATGAAACCTCTTTCCTTTATAAATTACCCAGTCTCGGGTATTTCTTTATAGCAGTGTGAAAATGGACTAATACACTATGGCTATAAAGAAAATATTAGTAGCTTTCCCTATAATAGAAATAGTAGAGGCCTCTGACCACCAAGCAATAAAACCAGAAATTAAGAGAAAAGTAGAAATGAGACAAAAACCCAACCACATGAAAGATTTAAAACCCCCTCTTCAATTCCATTTAAGAACAAGAGTAAGTCGAAATTACCAGTTCAAGCCAGATTGAGGAAAAAAAGGAAAACACTATTTGTCAAGTGATGAGATAGAGCTAAAATCATATTGAAAGGAAAATTCAGTATTAAACAATTATATATTTTTTCTTTTTCAAATTGAATATTTCTTTAACATGGTAATTGTCTTAGTAACATGTGCACACATGCTCGTACACTAAGAATGATCGGCCTGGGGGGAAAATATTAAATACGCCTAAAGGGAAAATGAAAAATAAAAAATTAAATAAAAATCTTGTTTTTAATTATTGAAGACAATTATTTCTATTGACTGATTGAAACAGGGTCTCACTCGATCACCCACGCTGAGTGCAGTGGCACAATTATGGCTCACTATAACCTCTGCCTCTTGGGCTTAAGACATCCTCCCACCTCAGCCTCCCAAGTAGCTGGGACTACAGGTGCATGCCACTATACTCGGGAAATAATTTTTGTATTTTTTGTAAAGACAGGATTTTGCTATATTGTCCAGGCTGGTATCGAACCCCTGAGCTCAAGCAATCTACCTGCATTGGCCTCCCAAAGTGCTGGGATTACAGGCATGAGCCACTATGCCCAGCCAACTATTTCTAATATCACTTACAAAGCTGTTGCCAAATCTGTCCAAGGAACCAGGGGTTGAAGGGGGAGGAAAAAGTCCTGGGAAAAATTCAACAGTTAAACATGTATTTCTGAAAAGTAAAAGAAAAAGATAAATGAATCAAGCATTCAACTGAGAAAGATACAAAATGAGCAATAAAATAGATCTAAGAAAAGAAGAACAGAATGAAGGCATGCAGAAATTAATGAATCAGAAAACAAAATAAAAGTAGAATTGATCAATTGAAGGGCTGACCCATAGTGGAAAAAAACCACATAGTGGAACAGATTAGGCCACTATCTAGCCTAATCAAGGGGGAAACACACACACACACACACACACACACACACACACACACAGGCGGAGAAGGCACGATTAGAAATGAGAATAGAAAAATAAGCATGAGAAGAGAACATCTTAACATGTATTTCTTTGTTTTCATACCTACTCCCACAAATGTTATTTCTTAATTACATTAATAACACATGGATATATGTGTATAAGAAAGAAAAGTCAAGTAAGAAATAATAGAGCAAAAAGCCAAAGTCCTCTGTATTAGTTTGCTAGGACTGCCCTAACAAAATACTTAACAAGAGAAGTGGCTTAAACAAGAGAAATTTATATTCTCAGAGTTCTAGAGACTTGAAGTCTGTGATAGAGATTGGGAATTTTTCCGGGGCCTCTCCTTGGCTTGTGGATGGCCCCTGTTTTGCTGCCTCTTCACAGGGTTGTACCTCTGTACACAAGTCCCCTGACATCTCTGTGTGTGCCCAGATTTCCTGTTCTTATAAGGACATCATGTCCAGGCACGTTGGTTCATGCCAGTAATCCCAGCACGTTGGGAGGCTGAGGCAGGTGGATCGTTTGAGGTCAGGAGTTCAAGACCAGCCTAGTCAACGTGGGGAAATCTCGTCTCTACTAAAAATACAAAAAATAGCTAGGTGTGGTGGTGCGTGCTTGTAATACCAGCTGCTCAGGAGGCTGAGGCACAAGAATCACTTGAACCCCGGAGGCAGAGGTTGCAGGGAACTAAGATTGCATTAGGACCCACCCTAGTGGCCTCACTTTAACTTAATCACCCCTTTAAAGGCCATAACTCCAAATACAATCACATTCGGAGGTACTGGGATTTAGGGATTTGAGATATGAATTTATAATTCGACCCACAACACCCCTTTTCTCCTGTTTCCCCTCCAGTCCCAACCTCTCCCCAGCAGTAACATGATTAACAAGACATGCTTGTGACATTGGTGGGGCAATCAAGCTGAGGCTGGGTAGGTTTAATGTAATTCCTACATTTGTCTAGATAGTTTCTGTAAACCCAGCTAAGGAAGAGTTGAATAAAAATGTTCTATCCTCCTGTCTGGACAAATATACCTTCATAATGAGCTGGAAAGCCAGATTTGGATTTAAACTGTCTGGACTCTCCCCCAGTTCCTTGCCAGGATATGGCAGGAAGGCCTCCCTTTCCTTCCCACACCCAGCTCTGTCTGTACCACGATGGCCTCCTTAGGCACCGGTGTATGGAGACTCCAACCTGCACATTCAAATTCCTCCACACCCTCCTCAAACAGCCACCCATTAGTTACCAGTTGGGCCTAGCAGTGGTCACGACAGTGGTGCGCTCCATTCCCAAGAGGACATACCTGAGGTGAGCCCCTCACAGGCCCTGGGAAGGAATTCTAGGGTTCCGGGCACATGAAGCCTGGTCTGGGAGGAGGGTGGTGGCTGCAGACAGGCATGTCCCTCTGGCATATCCCCTGTGGGATACGGTGCATCTGGAGGGAACTGGAGCAGGTTCCAAAAATCAAAGCCCAAGGCAGGGATCCTTCTGGCTTCAGTCTAAAGATGATACTGCTATCAAGTATTCGTGGGTATCTTTTCAGACCCCTTTACATCAATTTTGTATAGGGAAATCAGAGTTATAATTTCAAAATAAGATTTTCTGTTGAAAAATTGATTCTCTGGTTTTCTGAAACATGCTTTTAAAAATTATGTCTTGTGGATCTTTCTATGTCAGCACATATAGATTCACTTTTTCTTTTTAACTGTTGCATGATATTATACAGCATAAAGATAAAGGGGAGAAAAAAATTGTAAAAACATATTTAACACAATTCATGTTAGTCCCCTTGAAAAGTAACTTGATTTAAAACCATAGTAAGCTTAAAAAATACAAATTACCAAAACTGACTCAAGAAGAAATAGAAAACCTGAACAGATCAATAACTATGGAATTAGTTGAGGAAGTCATCCAAGAGGACTTCATAGTTTCTTTCAATAAGGTAATTCCAAAGCTCATCAAAATTCCAGAGCATAGAGAGAAATAAGATAAACTGCCTAGTTATTTTTATGAAGCTACAAATATGCAAACCTGACAAGATAGTAGAAAGAAATTCACAGGCTAATTTCATCTATGAATATTGAAACAAAACTTTTCTATAAAAGATTAATAAATGGAATCCAGTAGCATAGTAAGAGAATAACAAATTATAGTAAGACAGTGAGAGGTTGACATGCAAAAATCAGTCATATTTCTGTAAATTAGCAATGAACAATTGCAAACTGAAATTAATAATGCAGTGCCATTTATAATAGCTCCAAAAGATGCAGCACTTAGGTATAAATTTAACAAAACATGTACAGCATCTGTGTGCTGAAAACTATGAAGTGCTATGAAATCAAAGACCCGGATCAAAGGAGAGACAATCTGCATTCACAGATTGGATGACTCAACGCAGCAAAGATGAGAGTCCTCTCCAAAGTTATTTATATGTTTAATATAATTCCTATCAAAGTTCCAGCAGGAGTTTTTGTAAATATAGACAAGCTGATTCCAAAGTGTACTCTTAAAGAGAAAAGAGCTAGAAACGTTAAAAGAATTTTGGAAATGAAGAATAAAGTTGGAGAAATCACACTACTTGATTTTAAGACTTACTGTATAATAACAACAGCAATGAGGACAGTGGTATTGGAGGAACAGACTCACAAATCCAGGGAAAAGAGTAGAGAGTCCAGAAATAGATCCATGCAAGTATGGGCAACTGATTCTTGAAAAAGGTTCAAAAGCGACTCCATGGAGAAAGAATAGTGCCCCCCAAAAATATTGGTGGCATAATTGGACATCCATAGGCCAAAAAGTAAACCTTCACCCAAACCGAACGCTGTATGCAAAAATTAACTCCAAAGGAATCATAGATCTAAATATAAAATGCAAAACTATAAAACTTTTAGAAGAAAACACAAAAGAAAACCTAGGTCTTAGTAAAGATTTCTTAGATATTACACCAAAAGCACAAGCCATGAAAGAAAAATAATAAGTTGGACTTCAGCAAAATTAAAAACTTGTAATCCATGAGCAACCTTGTTAAGAGAATGAAATGGCAGGCCACAAACCGGGAGAAAACATTTGCCAATTCATGTATCTGACAAAAGACTTGTATCTAGAATGAATATATATATATATATACACACACACATACATATACACACACACACACACAAACACATAACCTCTCTAGACTCAACATTAAGATAATAAATAATCCAATGAGAAAATCTGTAAAAGAC